GGTGACAGCCTAGGGGGTTACATAAGCCCATGCATGTATCACGATTGGACAGTAAGGGAGGCACCATTGGACTTGGCGAAAGAGTACAAAAATGAATGGTGTCGCCACCCCAATTGGTGAATAAGAGGTGTCCTTTGTTGCAGCCTAGGCTCAGGCTACGTGACAGCCTTTGGGATTACTTTCATTATTGCATGTAATATTATTGGCAGCCTTGGGGGGTTGCATCCTTACTTAATTGAAATTTTTAGCCTTACGTTTATCATAACATTGATTCACATAATCTGTCAAATCTTCCAACCTTCAAACGTTCTTACAACCAAACCTTCAAACCTGCAAACAATCAAACATTCCAACCTTCGAATCACTCATAAAATTCAAACATTCCAACCTTCAAACATTACAACATTCAAACCTTCATACAATCAATAAACCTCAAACATTCCAACCTTCAAACCTTAAAACAATTCTACGTAATGGCCTATCCACCACAATTTGTCGTCAAAGCACATTTCAACGGTGAGACATACATTTGTCCCACAACTGGGTTTTTGTTTAGAGACACAGACAACATCCGATTTCTCTTAAACGGGAAAGCCAATTTCTCGTACTTCAAAAAAAGATTGGAGGCCAAACTTGAACGAGGCCCGGTGTCCCAGATATTTTATCAGAATCCAGTTTTCTTTGGAAACAACCAAGTAATTTTTTATAAGGTTGAAGTTCAAGATGACGAGGATCTCCAGAATATGATTTCCAGCCATGTCTATTCTGGATACGACTCTATTGAGTTGTACGTTTTGCTTCAAGAGCCTCAGGTGACACAGGAGGTTGATCCTTTGGAGAATGAACAAGATGAGGTAGATGCAGTTGATGATGAAGAAGAAGATAACGAGTTAGAGTTTGATGAAATGGTGAACGATGATTCCGACGATGATGGCATCCCTAGTATTCCTACAGACAAAATCTACACACCACCTCCGCACATGACAAACTTCAACATGGGCGGAGATGAACCTTCTACTGACTTATTTTTCAATCCGTATATGCAGTCGGATGAAAATTTAAAAGAGAATGACAAGTTTCGTAACAGAGAGGAATGCATCAGGGCCATTAAAAAATTTCACATGCTCAACTCGGTTGATTTTAAGGTGGATCGTGTCAACCCGGAAAGGTACAAGATCAAGTGTGTCCACCCTGACTGTATGTTCAAGCTGACCGCATCATACAGATTAAGGGGTGACTGCTGGGTCATAGGTTCCATGACTACCCACACTTGTGTAAGTTCCACTCAATCACAGGACCACCGAAAACTCAACTATGATCTAATTTGTCAAGAAATCCTACCCCTGGTCAGCAACGACCCATCTTTGAAGGTGAAAACAATCATCTCCCACATCACCACGGTTTTTAACTACACTCCGTCTTACCGTAAGGCGTGGTTAGCAAAGACTAAGGCGATTGAAAGGGTGTACGGAAACTGGGAGGAGTCATACTGAGAACTTCCCCCTACCTGAATGCACTCAAGACGTATTCTCCAGGTAGTGTTTACGTTCTGGAAACATTGCCAGCGTACGCCCAAGATGGTAGTCTACTGCATGGCAACGGAATATTCAGTCGCGTGTTTTAGGAATTTCAACCATGCATCACAGGGTTTGCATCATGCAAACCAATTTTACAAATTGATGGGACTTGGTTGTATGGGAAGTACAAAGGCACGCTATTGATGGCAGTTGCACAAGATGGCAACAACAACATTTTCCCCATTGCCTTTGCCCTTGTCGAGGGGGAGACCGGTGGTGCTTGGAGCTTTTTCCTGAAAAATCTTCGGACACACGTGGCTCCTTAACCAGATCTCTGTTTGATCTCGGACATACATGCCTCCATTGAAAGTGCCTACAATAATCCAGCAAATGGTTGGCATGACCCTCCTTCTATGCATGTCTATTGCGTTAGGCATATCGTCCAGAATTTCTCGAGGGAGGTCAAGGACAAAACATTAAGGAAAGCGGTTATGAATGCGGGATATGCATTGACACAACCCACATTCAAATATTACCGCAACGAGATCCGTTTGTCTAATCCGGAAGCCGGTAGGTGGATCAACAATATTCCGGTGGAAAAATGGACTAGGTCATACGACAATGGCCAAAGATGGGGGCATATGACAACGAATCTTATTGAATCAATGAATGGGGTATTCAAAGGCATACGAAACCTCCCAATCACTGCCTTGGTAAAATCTACGTATTTTAGGATGGATGCGTTATTTGCCAAAAGAGGTGAAATATGGAATGCGGTGTTGCAATCTGGACAACTATGGAGTGAAAGCTGCATGAAATACATTAAGGCTGAAAGTGCTAAAGCCAACAGTCACATGGTTATACGGTTTGACCGACACAGCCACAACTTCATTGTGAAAGAGACAATCGACCATAATGAAGGTCTGGCAAGACAAGAATATAGGGTCATTTTACCTTCTCAATGGTGCGATTGTGGCAGGTTTCAAGCATTTCGTATGCCTTGCTCTCATGTCATTGCCGCTTGTGCTCATACCCATCAAGACGCGCTGCAACTTCTGTCAAACGTTTACAAATCTGAAACGTTGCTCAACGTTTACAACAACAACTTTCCTTTGGTAGCAAAACCAGATTATTGGCCTGCATACGACGGCGAAATAGTGTGGCACAATGACCAAATGCGAAGGAACAAGAAGGGTCGTCCCAAAAGTAGGCGCATCACAACAGAAATGGACGATCTAGACAGGTTGGAAAGAAAGTGTGGTTTATGCCGTCAGGTCGGACACAATCGCAAAAACTGTCCGAATCGGGCGTCTGCCTCGACCACATAAATATTGTAATACATAAAATCTTTTCATAATTGTGTTGTAAATATTTGGGTTTTCCGTTAATAGATTTTGCTACAATTAATAAAATGCGTACAAAAAATAATTAACGATATTCCATCTACGAAATTACAACTGTTAACACAATTTCATCTGACCCATGCATCATCAACATTACATTGCTGTCTGTTTTGACTTCCTCCAACCACACATTAGGTCTTCCTGTCGCATGTGAGGTTGTGGTTTGTTTTCGCTGGATCCTTCGAATTTTCCCCCCCTCGACAATGTCTCCATTTAGCCATCGAATCAACTCCCGCTTCAGACGCTCCATGGAGTGAATGTGCCAGAATTTCATTTTCATCGCAGGTTTCGTGGCGGAGAAGATAACGTAACCATCTCTGCTAAAAATCATAGGCGACGTCATGACGAAAATAACAGAGTACAAAATAAAAATACAGTGCGAGAAAGTGTGAGAAATTTCGGAGAAACGGACGAATTATTTATAAAACAGCATTTTGCCCTAGTTTTGCCCTAGGAGCCAAGTGAGATGGCGCCTCCTCTCACTTTTAAGGAGCATGCACCATCTCACTTGACTAAAAGCCAAGGGAGGCGCCAAGTGAGATGGCGCCTAGGGCAAAACCCTAGGTGGAGGCGCCAAGTGAGATGGCTCCTCTTTTGGGGAGTCATCCGAAACATGGTTATTTACGTAATTTTTTCCGAAATCCGGTTATTTACGAAATATTATTTTAATACTTGGTTATTAATAAAAAAAATTCTAAAAAAAATTCTATCTTTTAGTTTATATTAAAGTTATTCTCTTTTCTGTAAAATTTTGAAATTTAATATTTTTAAAATTAAATTTTTTTAACGACCAAAAAGTTATCCTATCCAAAAAAAAATTAAGGGAAAATAAAATAAAATAAAGATATATCATAAATATATTTTAAACTATTTATCTGTAATTTCTTTTACCTTTAACATATTTAATAAAGAATAACGTACATTTTTTTAATATCAGTGCACATTAAAACATATATTTTTATAAAATAAAAATAATGGATCTTATTTCTCAATCTAAAACTTATAAAATACATATTAACATCATTAAAAAAAACAGAGCCTGAATATTTAATTTTTCAATGTAATAGTAACTTGAGTTATATCGACATAGATAACAAATGAATAGTCTTTTAACTTGCTAAAAAAACAAATGAAAAATCAAAACAAGTTTATAAAGTAAGAAATAAATAAAAAACTATCCTACAATTTTAAAAAGTCCTATTGTGCAGTTTTATAGGTGTGAAAGAATTCAAAGAAATATAATATTTTATGAGAGTGTTTAAGTTTTTAAAATGAGAGATTTTATGAAACGGATAATTTAATGAATATTTAAGAAAAAAATTTAAAAAATAAAAGTCAGTTTAAAAATAGAATGGATAGATTTTTTTCACTTAATATTTTTTATCCTATTTTTTTAATTGATTTTATCCAATTTTTTTAATTGAGAATTTTTAATATAAATTTATAAGAGTCTTTGATATAACATTTTTTAATATTAATTTTTCCATATTTTTTTATTATGGAAAGAAAATTAATTTGACTCATAACAAAATCTCAATTTTTAAATTTTTTTTAGCTAAAATAAATAATTAATAATTGACAATTTCAAAAAATTAGTTGGAATTTATGTTGTTTTTTAAATAAATTAAATAATTTATTGTTGTAATTATTAAACTTAATTCATACCAGTTTCGTTTTATAATTAATTGTTAATTATAATGGTTTTAATCAGTTACATATACAAAAAAAAATTATATTAAATGTAGTAGTGAGCATTTGAGAAGTCACGAGTGTTATTAAATTTTTTATATTTTATAACTATATTCTTTTATATATGTTCGGTCAAATTAGTAAATAATAAAATAAATTGAAGGATTATTAATAAAATAAAACATCAAACATAAACTCATAAAGAAATTTATTTTTATTTTTAAATTTCAATTAAATTAATTTATAAAGATTATTTAAAATAGATAATGAATAATTGACAATTTTAAGAAATGAGTAGGAATTTATGTTGTTTATTTAAATAAATGATTAATAAAATAAAATAAAATTTCGAACATAAGCTCATAAAAAAATTAATTTTTTTGTAAAAGCGATGGGAAGGGGACGAGGGAGGCCACCGAAAAATCTGGTGCCACCGTCACCTGACAATCGAAGCAATCCGATGAAGAAATCGGGCACAGTAACACCAAATGCGAAGGAGGGAATCATTCATGAATCAAGCTCGGCCACTAGTGGAGGTAAGGATAAGGAAGACGCAGAAACCCTAGATCTGGGGGTGGAGGAAAATTCAAATGAGGAGAATGATTCGCAAAAGGCTAAGATCCCTAAGGAAGAGAGGAAACTTTGGGTGGATGTTTTGAATAAGAATTGAGAGTCGTCCAGGGGTAGAGCAATGAAGTTCATAGCTCCCAAAGTTGTTAACATAGAAATTTAAGTGGAAATCAAAAAAGAGGACGTCATATCAGAGATTCAATACTGGGAAAATTCTTTGATCTTGTATGTTTTGGGTGAAGATTTGAGCATGAACTCTGTCAAGCAATTCATGATTAGAGTGTGGAATTTTATTCAGCTCCTGGACATGTTCTACCACGATGAAGGTTATTTCTTGCTCAGATTCAAGACTTTTCAGGATTTTGAAGTTGTTTTGATGAATGGACCCTATACCACCTGGAACATGCCTCTCTTGATTAGGGAGTGGAGACCTCACTTTAACCTAAAGAATGACATATTGAGAACCTTGCCATTATGGATTAAACTTCCCAATCTCCCGTTGTACCTATGGGGGCCAACAAGTTTGAACAAGATAGGTAGTTCTCTTGGCAACCCTTTGATTACTAACGAGTGTACTACATATAGGTTGTGTGTGTCCTATGTAAGAATTCTAGTTGAAGTCGATATAACTCAACCTTCCACAAGAGATACTCTAAGGGACAAAGAAGGAAAGAAAATGACACAAAAAGTTGAATATGAGTGGCAGCCTATGTTTTGTCAGAAGTGCCAGCAAGTAGGGCATCAATGTGATGTGCAGAAGCCTAAGGAAAAGCAATGGAAGCCAAAGAAAAAACCCCTGAAGTAACCAATCTACCTACTGAACCTAAGCCTTCTTCTGAAGTAGCTCATCCTGCTGATCCTGCAAAAAGGAGAAGTATGGTTTCTAAAGTTATTGAGCATGAGGAAGAAAAGAAAGAGGAATGGAGGAGTGTCAACAAAAGTGCAAGAGATAGAGGCAAAAGAATGAATGAAGGATCACCAAGTCATGTTATCTATGGAAATGTTTTTGAAGCTCTATGGGTTTTGCATGACTCACTAGGGATCAGAGATATCGGACAATGATTTCAGCTTGGAAGTCAGGGGGCTGAACAAAATTGATAAGCTTAGGGAGATTAGCTCCCGTCTCCTAGAGCATAGAACTAACGTGAATATCTTATTGGAAACTAGGGTGAAATATGATAAGGCTAAGGTTGTTAGGAATAAACTCATTCTCAGAGGGAATTACTTAGATAATTATACTCATCATGAGAATGGAAGAATTGGGGTTGAATGAGACCCTAATAAAGTGGACATCAGATTTGTCAGGAGCACTAGCCAATTGGTTCATAGTGGTGTTTATGATATTCAAGGGAAATTTCTGTTTTGATTAACAACCATTTATGCCCTTAATAAGTTGGAGCAAAGACAAAAATTATGGAGAGACATAGCAAATTCGAAGAAGCTAGGGCCTTGGTGCATAATAGGGGACTTTAATAATGTGTTAAAGCCTTAAGATAGAGTGGGGGAGCTACTGTAACAGAGAGAGAGAGAGAGAGTATCAGGAATTACAGGAAATGATGGACAAAGAGATTAGTTGAAATGGATAGTGTGGGAGACTATTTTACATGGTCCAAACAGCACTCTGAAGGGACAATCTACTGTAGAATTGATTGAGGGTTGGGAAACATAGACTGGTTCCAACAAACTGAGTATACCCTGCAGATTCTTCCACCCCATATTTTGATCATGGGCTTTTATATGTCACTGGGCAGGATAGGGGCAGAATCAAATAAAATAACTTCAGATTTATCAATTATGTGATGCACATGGAGGGATGGGTATGAGGAAACTGTCAAGAATAGCTGGGAAATCCCTGTGGAGGGGAGGCAAATGTATGTCCTATGGAGAAAGTTAAAAAGGCTTCAGAAGGGGATTAAGCATTTAAGCAAGCCTCTGACCTCTACTAATATGCATATTATTAAGGCAAGGGAGAATTTGAAGACTGCTCAGAACAATTTGATTGGTGATAGAATGAGCAATAATAGGATTGAAGAGGTCAAAAAATGCACTGAGGAATTGATTAAGTGGAATGATATTGAAGAGAATATTTTGAAGCAAAGGGCAAAGATTGAATGGCTGAAGCTAGGGGATGAAAATAATTCTTACTTCCATGCCTCTATAAAGGGCAAGCATCTGGGCAGAAGTCTTAACATCTTGTATAGGGAGGATGGATCCATAATTTCTGAACCTGAGCAGATAGATGAGGAAGTTCTGAAGTATTATGAGGGTATCATGGGAAAAAGAGAACCTAGCCTGCAGTCAATTGATGTTACTGCAATGAGACAGGGAGTGCAGCTCAGCAGTGTGCAAAGGGAAGAGTTAGTTAGACCTGTAACTGAACAAGAGATTTATATTGATGTGAGGGATATTGGTGATCTCGAGTCTCCAAGGGTAGACGACTTTGGTGCTAAATTCTTTAAAGCTCGTTGGGAGGTTGTGAAAAAAGATGTTATTGCAGCAACTTTGGAGTTCTTTCAACAGGGGAAAATGTATAAAGCTATTAACTTCACTCTTATCTCTCTTATACCTAAGACTGATAATGCTAAATATATAAAGGATTACAGGCCCATTTCTGTGTGCACCACTATGTACAAGGTTATTTCAAAGGTTTTTACAAGAAGAATGAGTAAAGTTTTGGGTAGCATCATTAACAACTGTCAGTCTGCTGTTGTGCCAGGACAACAAATTCATAATCACATTTTATTGGCGTATGAATTGCTCAAGGGTTATAGCAGGAAAGGAGGCACGCCTCGTTGTATGATGCAATTGGATCTTCACAAGGCGTATGACATGGTGGATTGGCCAGCTCTTGAGAGAATTCTGCAGGAGAAAGGGTTTCCGCAACAATTTGTAAAGTGGAATGCTACCAAGGCTAGTATTCAAAAAATGACTTTTTTCAATGAGGGCTCCCTCCCTTTTAGGTACTTGGGAGTACCTCTAACAAGCAAAAAATTGGCTGTCAGTCAATATCTGGTTTTGATTGAGAATATTGCAGGTAAAATGAAGCATTGGAGTAATCACTTTTTGAGCTACGCGGGGAGATTACAGTAATTAAAAGCATCTCCTTTGCAGTAGAAAATTTCTGGATGATGTGTTTTCCCCTGCCTAAGGGTGTTATCAAGAAGATTAGTGCTTTGTGTAGATTGTTCTTGTGGACAAGTGGGGAGGAAATCAATAGAAAGAGTCCTGTTGAATGGAAAAATGTTTGCAAAAAAAGAAATAAAGGTGGTTTGGATATGACTGATCTGCATCTGTGGAACATGGCTATAATATTGCGTCTGTTGTGGAACTTAAGTCAGAAGGAAAATAGTATGTGGGCTAAGTGGGTGCACGCGTATCATCTTAATAAGCAGAGTCTGATGGAGGTGAACATCAAGGATAGATTCTCGTGGATCATTAAGAAAATTTTGCTACAAAGGAACAAGGTGGCACAGATGCAGGAAACTTGGGATAATATGCAGGGGAAGGGTAAATTTAGTATGAAAAAAACATATGATTGTATGGATGGTGATGATGTGCAGGTACACTGGAAGGCATTGATGTACAAGAATGATGCAAGGCCCCGTGCTATCATGACCTTATGGCTGACATGTCATAAGAAACTTGCTACTAAGGATAGATTGAAGAGATTTGGGATGATAGCTCATGATGATTATAGTATGTGTGACAAGAATGAGACAATTAACCATTTGTTTTATGAACGTGTGAAGATGAAGGAAATTTGGTGTAAAGTCCTGGAATGGATCCATATTATGCATGAACCTAAGGGTTGGAATGAGGAGCTTGAGTGGCTTGTGGGGAAGTGCAACAAGAAGAGTTGGAAAACTGAATTGCAAAAATTAGCAGCCACATAAACTTTATATGAAGCTTGAAAATTTAGGAATGATAGGGTTTTTGGAAATCGAGTGAATAAAAGTACTGTTATAAAATGGGTAATTGACAATATAATGTATAGGGGGTGGTATAGTAAAAGAATAAAAAAACATATAGTGAAGTATATGATTCGGTAATTGTTGGGATTTAGTTTTGTATAGCTTGATGGGTTGGATCTCTATATGGATCGCCTTGTATCTCATTGAGTTTTTTGAATTAATCCAATTTTGATTTTATTCAAAAAAAAAAAAAAATTGTTTAAATTTCAATTAAATTGATTTATAAGGATTATTTAAAGTTATTTTAAATAAAGTTAATTTTACATGATAAATCCACTCAAAATTTATTTTTCCTATAAAAAAGTTAACAATTATATATATTTAATTATTTAATGATTATTTAATTTGTTGTTTTAATATAGGAATATTATTTTAGTTGTTTAAAGATTTTAAAGTTTAATTGCATATAATTTAAATGTGGTATAATAGTATTGCTAGAAAAAGAGTAATATAAAAATGAAAAAAATATAATATAATGTCACATTAATATTAGGGTTAGGGTTGTGTCTTAGGTTGTCATCATGATCTATAATTCTATCTATTTTATGTAGTATTTATGATGATAATTAAAAAAAGTTAGAATTTTTTTATGTATAGAACTATTTAAAAATCAAAATTAAACATAAATAATTAAAAATGAATAGTTTTTAAGTATTATAAAGTTATATTAAAAAATTAACTCATTAATTTATTTAGTATTTATGATGTTAATTAAGTGCTTGCATAAAAAATAACCAAACAAAAAATAATATAAAAAATCAAAAGAAAAATATAAGTATATAAGTTGATAAAAGTTACATTTTTTTCAATATTAGGGTATCTAAATTTTTTATCTTTATTTAATAAAAATTAGGGTAAAAATAAGACAAAAAAATATTACGTCAAAGACAATTATAATTTTATATTACATTAAAAGTAATGAGTAAATAAATTATTTATTAAAATTTATTTCAATACAATAAATAGGTTAATGATCATAAACAAACCATATAAATTATAGAATAGGAAAAAATACATTTCAAATATTTATGTGATACAATTTACGTACTTATTCCATTAAATAATCAAAAATGAATTATTTATTAATATTATAAAGATATTTTTAAAAATTAATTAATTATTTTATAGTGAAAGTTGCTATGAAAATACCATGTAAGTATTAAGTTGTTATTTTAGATCTAGATTAAGTAGATTGTGAAATCTTTGATAATGAGTATAATTAGGAATAAGCGTGAGTAATAGAGTGAATGAGATTGTTCACATTATTATTATGGGTTAATACCTATTTTCACCCCTGATATATGTATTTGAAAAAAATCTCTGCCAAAAAAAAATTCCAATTGTTACATTTTTACCTTGAGGATGCCACCTCACCTAAAAGGCTGATGTGGCTTATATTTTTGTTATATTTTTATTATTATTTTAATGACATGGCTTGATTAGTTGTCATTTTTAATTTCATATGACATTTATATTAATATTTTATTAATTGAGTGTTAATTCAAATTTAAAAAAAAATTGTCCTTCAGCAGGAATCAAACCATTGTCTGCAGTGAACGCTTCTTACCACTAGACCAATGCATTTTCTTTGTTACATATATGCATCAATAAATATTCATATCATTAACATATTAATTACAATTATCAATAAATTTTCTTAACTAGTTGGTTTAAATAATTTTTAAAAAAATGTTTTACATATTTTATCTTTTTACTGTAACTTTTTTTAAATTTTAAATTTTCAAAAATCACTTAAATTTAAAAAAATCACTTAAATTTTCAAAAATCACTTAAATTTAAAAAAATCACTTAAATTTAAAAAAATAAATTAAATTTAAAAAAATCACTTAAATTTTCAAAAATCACTTAAATTTAAAAAAAATCACTTAAATTTTCAAAAATCACTTAAATTTTCAAAAATCACTTAAATTTAAATCACTTAAATTTAAAATCACTTAAAATTTTCAAAAATCACTTAAATTTTCAAAAATCACTTAAATTTAAAAAAATCAATTAAATTTAAAAAAATAAGTTAAATTTTCAAAAATCACTTAAATTTTCAAAAATCACTTAAATTTAAAAAAATCACTTAAATTTAAATCACTTAAATTTAAAATCACTTAAATTTTCAAAAATCACTTAAGTGATTTTTGAAAATCACTTAGTTTTGAAAATTTAAGTGATTTTTGAAAATTTAAGTGATTTTATATTTAAGTGATTTAAATTTAAGTGATTTTTGAAAATTTAAGTGATTTTTTTAAATTTAAGTGATTTTTGAAAATTTAAGTGATTTTTTTAAATTTAACTTATTTTTTTAAATTTAAGTGATTTTTTTAAATTTAAGTGATTTTTGAAAATTTAAGTGATTTTTGAAAATTTAAGTGATTTTAAATTTAAGTGATTTAAATTTAAGTGATTTTTGAAAATTTAAGTGATTTTTTAAATTTAAGTGATTTTTGAAAATTTAAGTGATTTTTTTAAATTTAACTTATTTTTTTAAATTTAAGTGATTTTTGAAAATTTAAGTGATTTTTTTAAATTTAAGTGATTTTTGAAAATTTAAAATTTAAAAAAAGTTACAGTAAAAAGATAAAATATGTAAAACATTTTTTTAAAAATTATTTAAACCAACTAGTTAAGAAAATTTATTGATAATTGTAATTAATATGTTAATGATATGAATATTTATTGATGAATATATGTAATAAAGAAAATGCATTGGTCTACTGGTAAGAAGCGTTCACACTAGACAATGGTTCGATTCTTGCTGAAGGACAAAAAAAAATTTAACTTTGAATTAACACTCAAATTAATAAAATATTAATATAAATGCCATATGGAATTAAAAATTAAAAATTAATTAAAAATGACAACTAATCAAGCCATGTCATTAAAATAATAACAAAAATATAAGCCACATCAGCCTCAAGGTAACAATTGGAACTTTTTTTTTGCAGGGGGTTTTCAAATACACTCAATATGTCAGGGGTAAAAATAGGTATTAACCCTATTATTATTTAGTTGGTGGTTTTAAGTTTTAAAAGGAATTTAATGAGAAGTTATGCAAAACTAATTATTATTATCATTAATATTATTATTAATTATTTATTTAATTGCAGAAGTGTACTTAATTGGTGTTGGGGTTGGTGAAGGAGATTAACTTATTATTTATAAAATTTATTTAGTTTATAAATTTAATTATATTTTAATTGATAATGAAGTAGTGGAATTAGTGGGATTATAAATTTAATTTTTATAATTAAATTTATTTATTAATAATTATAATAATATATTTATTAATTAATTAGAAAAAAGAGTTTTGGAGAAAAATTTATAATAGAGAAGTTATAGAATTATATATATATATATTGAGATTAATTACAATATACTCTCAGTTTAAATTCACTTTACACTATATTTAATTAGAGTAAATTATTTTGATACATAAATATGAAATTAAAAAAAATATAATTAAATTCTTTTAATTCTAATTCAATGAGTGTAAAATTGTTTGAGAATTTAGAAAGGAAAGAAGAGGAGGACTTTGAAAATTAGGAAGGATTAGGGAAAAAGAATAGAAAGATTTTGGTTTGGAGAGTTTGATTTTCTCTATCACACCAAAAATCTTCTAATTTGGAGGAATTCAAAATTTGTATTGAATGAGGATTTTGGAAGATTTTGGAGGGCTTAGACAAAATGTTCAAATATAATTTTTGTTGTTATAGTATTTTAAAAAGTAAAAATACATTAATGATAAATATTATTTTATCATTGAAATTCTGGCAGCAGATACTCAATGTCACAGTGAATGTTATGACACCGTATCTGACTTTCTATAAGACAGTAAATAAAAACAGTAAAGAACACAGTCAATTGTTTACCCAGTTCAGTGTGAAACAACACCTACTCTGGGGGCTACCAAGCCAGGGAGGAAATCCACTATAAGAGATATTAATTCAGGAATAAACCAACCAGTTTATCTCCTTCACTTAAGACCTACCCAATGCAACTTCAATCTAAGTCCAACTTAAACCTGAGTTCCTACTCACTCCCCCTCAATCACAGCAGTGATAATTAAAACAATTGACTAATGAATTAATGAAGACACTCTTCAGAACAAACACTTGATTATGCTTCACAACTTTTTAATCAAGTAACACAAACACTCTTGCTTCACAGCTTTGAGTGATACATAAACCTAACTTGACTTTGCTTCAAAGCTTTAGTCAAGGGACACAAAACACTCTTGCTTCAAAGCTTTGAGTGATACAAAAACCCTTACAAACAAAACCTATTCCAAGTCACTTATCACAATGATACTTGCTTGGATTACAGCAGTTAAAACTATACAGCTCCTAATTGGTCTTCAGTCCAAGAGAGATACTTTCCAAACAGCAGTCCTGTTGAATATATAGCAGTTGTTTCTTCAGTTAGGGTTTCCATAAAAAGCTAGGGTTAATTAGGTTTAACCTTAAGACTTGGTCACAAGACTTTATCAACCAGATTAGAGTTGAGCTAGGTTAACCCAAAGACCACGCAAGATTCTGTTCTGGAAGGAATGACTCAACTTCCTGAAAAAACTCAGAATTAACCAAACTGCATATCTGTTAGATCAGTACAGGATGTCTTAACATTTGTTATGACATCAGAATTCCTGTTTACTGATTTTGGTAGAAGGCAATAAATGTGATCTTTTGCAAAATTGCTCAGATACACACTCATAAACAGTAGCTACTGTATGCCATAATTTTTCTGCATAAAGTACCTAATAAACCAGAATGTTATGACATCAGTCATGACATTCACACACCTGGTTTTACCAAAAATACATGCCAATAACTAAACACTTACAAACTCCCCATTTGGCAGATTTTTGGCTAAAACCCCTAAGCAATCAGAGAATATATAGCAGCAGAATGAAT